TGTCTGGGAGGGATGCGGTGGGCCGGGGGGGGGGGGGGGGGGGGGGGGGGGGGGGGCCCTGCGACTACAGCTAGGGCCGACCCTCGCCTCCACGTTACTTTATGTCTTCACTTTTCATGGCCTTTAACTCATTCACTCTCCCACTCTGAACAAAGGCGGTGTTTACTACGCCTGCCGTGGTTGCTGGGTGCAGGAAACAGGTTTGCCATTTTATTGTTATTTCATTATTCACGCAGGTCACAACAGGGGCCGGGATCATGACGCCGTCAGAGGGCCAATTACCTCCAGACATAATCACCTCTCTCTGTGTGCTGCATGGAGAATGAGTCCTTATTAAGTGTCTGTCAGAGGTGTCAGAGTGTGGGCCACGCTACAGTGAGTGGGTCACTGCTGCCACTTAACACGGTCTGCATTCACCCGCCGCCGCAAGAGCACGCCGGAGGGCCCGGTACTGGTGCTGGTACCGATGCTGGTACCGATGCTACCCCCCCACCTGTCCTTTTCGTTTGTCCATGTCCATACAGCATTATAAAGGGCGGCAGTAAAGACGCGAGGCTGTGTCTCAGTCGTAGAACTTCAAATTAACACCTCCATCCTCCGTGGAGTGGCCGTCAGGGGCCGTCCCTCACGACTGTCACGCCATCTGTTAAAGGAAAGCAGGTTTTTTGTGTGTGCTCTGAGAAATATGTCAGCTGGTCTGGTGGACATATTTAAAGGTAGAGTATGGAGGACTTTAAAGGTTGGTGTTGGAACAGATCACATGTACGGAGCTTCACACCTTCTCCCTCGGGGGGAGGGGGAGTGGAGGCGGTGGGTGGTGTTGCAAGATTGCAGAGTTAATGTTTCGGGGGGAGGGGGAGTGGAGGCGGTGGGCGGCGTTGCAAGATTGCAGTTTTAATGTCCAATTTGAGTTTTGTTGAGTTTATTAAGATTGGAAAAAAACATGTAGTCAATGTTTTATTTGTTTGGAAAATGACAAAAATTGCTTTTTTTCTGTTGAAGGTCGTGGACCCCTGACCTTTAAGGTTTCTGATTGGTTGTTGCATTGGTTCAAAGCCGTCTTGTTTAAGTCTTGGGTTGAAGTAGAAGGAAATTAGTGTTGGTTGAAGTTGTGATTTTATGAGAGAGTTTTTGACCTAAGAGTAAGTTCTTCATGGGAATTTAACACTTTCCTAAAAAGAAAACCAAAACATTTAAATCGAAACAAAAGCTAGAGCTGAGTTTTTATTTGCTCATTGTTTAGATACACAAACAACAAACCTGAAACCTACATGTAAATCTTAAATAATCTGTTAAATAACTTCCTGGAAACCACAGGGTTTTAACTGGAGATTTATATCCTACGGTTGTTATTGCCCCCCTGAGGGTTCATTCTGCTGCTCTCTCTCTCTCTCTCTCTCTCTCTCTCTCTCTCTCTCTTACTTCTCCACCTTTTTCTCTAGGCTGGACAAACAGCTGATGAAGTTGGTTTTGTGATGTTAAATATTGAAAAAAAAAATCTATTAGAAATCAACCTGAAAATGCCCACCAGTTGGTGCAATTTCTCTCAAATAAACCCTTTTATAGCATAGTTCACAGCGCTCTGGCTCGATCCTGTACCCATCAGTCAGAGGGCTGCCCCTAATTCTCCAAATGATAAAGAAGCACTTAACGAAATACAGCTTTCTGGTGGTTGTTTTTTTTTTTTTTCAGATGTTTTCAATCAATTGTTCAAGTGGATTCGACTCAGTTTATTACACGCAATTTCGTTTTATTTGCCTCTTCAGTAATAAACTACTGAAGTGAATCCTGAGCTTATTAAAGCGACCTCTACGACTAATTTTCCTTATCAACTCAATCTCACCAGAACAAATCTAGTCATCCAGGAAAATGTTGTCAGTAAATTGTCTGTTAATGTCGCAAATTTAAGTGGATGAAACGAACGCATGAAGCTTTTATTGTGACGAGCTGCAGACAAAAAAAAGAGAAAAAGAAAAGAAATGAAAAGAACCCTTTGACCTGTGGTGCAGTCATACTTTCGGTCATTCAGAGTCTCATTTACATTCTACGATCGACGGGATGACGAGTATTTGTAAACACTTCTCTCTGAAGAGTACAAAGTTTAAACTTCACTCTCCTTCGGCCTCAGGAGACGCCGCTAAGATCAGTGGAGGCAAATGACTCCAGCTCCTGCGTCGGAGCTAGCACTAGTTTATGGCGTTAATTGGATGCACATTCAGAGAAAATGCCTCCCGAGTCACGTGAGATTAAAATTGGTTCACGCACAGACGAGCTCTAGAATAACGTTCACTCACAAATTAACAGTTCAGGCACGTGTCGGATTTTCTGCTCAATTTGGTCTCTTAAAAAGCCCCGTCCTCAGAAATGATAATGGACGCCTTTAAAGGTCTTTGTTTTATTTTGTTCTGCGTGATCACGACGTTAAAATATCCGCCGCCTCACACACGCTTGACATTTCTCCGCCGTTTGCCACCATATTGTTTTTATTTGGCCTCTCATATCCTCCTGACCTTCTCTTTGTTGTCTTTATAATGTCAGCAGCCAAGTTATTTTAAAGTTTATGAGTGGCATGAGGCTCATCAGCCAAACACAATTTTTTTATGCACTGGGACACTTGAGGTCTTTTAATATAAGTGGGAAGGTCAAATGAGCCAAACGGGGGAACGACAGAGTACAGGCAGAGAGAGAGAGAGAGAGAGAGGGAAAATACAAACAGTCAGTTGAAGCTTTTTTTTGCGCCTACATGAATCTGTGGCGTTGCCTACATGAATCTGTGGCGTTTCAAACCTGCCGTTATGTCCCTGAATGCAACGTATATGTGTTGTGATTTAAATTTTCACTCACTACTTATTACTGTCCTTAAACAGACGTTCGCAGACGTCATTAGTAAAGTGTGTAACTCGACAGATTCTACAGTTACAAAAGTCTGACTAAAATGATGTAGAGAGTAGGGACGTGCGATGATATCGGCGCCCGGCATTAGCATATTATGTACTATCTGTAAGAATCGTTATCGTTTTTTCCCCAGATAATGAAAACTCGATAAAACAATGCCTGGGTTTCGCCAAAAGATGTGTGCCCTAAAAATAGTTTTGGGGATAAACAGTTGTATATTGAAATGAAAGTCACTAGATGGCAGCATTCCAGCTCATTTCATCTTATCTCATACTCACACAGTGGTTTGTACAGATTCCTAAGAACAGGTTTGAATAAATGAGTTATAGAACTACCTGGATCAACTGGTGGAGAGTGGTTAGTGCTCCTGCCTTACAGCTTATAGGTCACCGGTTTGATCCTCAGTCCTACCAATTTTCTAAATTAACCCTGAGTGTAAGTGTTGTTTTTTTTTATCTCTGTATGTTAGCCTGGAATTGACTGTTAGGATTCGTACCAGCAGCCCCTTGAAAAAGCAAGTGTCAGTTGAAGATGAGTAAATAAAACTGTACTGAGGATTAAAGGGCAATTCTGAAAAAGAAAATCTTCCAAGATTCTTCAAGTCCCTCCTCTGAAAGTCTCTTGATATGAATTTGTCAAATGCACGTTTTTCCGTGAACAAATGCAGGAATATTTTTCTGCATTTTAGAACAATTTCTTTGCTTTGCTGCTGCGTCGGAGGTTTGTGACAGATTTTCTCTTTGTCAAATACAAATCTGTTGCCAGTAAAGAGTGAAATGAGGCGTCGGCGGCCATGCTCCCTCTCACCTGCCTGTTCTTAGAGCCTCACTGCTCCCTGCTGTTGTTCCAGATGGTTCACACACTCCTACAGCGACTGGCCTTCACTCCAGACTCTCTCCATTCACAGATTTATTCATTATTTGCAGCGTTGTTTGTTCTTTTTAATGAGGATTCTTTTTACATCACTGCAGGGGGTCAGTGGACAAAATTGGACAAGTTTGTTGTTCCATCAGAGGGCTGGGCGTTCGATTTAAAAAAAAAAAATTTTACGAGTAAATGTGTGTGAATCTAGTGTGAATGTAGCTGTTGTTTGAGGACAAATTTATGTTTTTGTCATTTATTTACAGTGTTTTTCTTTGGACTCTCTTTTTTCTGAGAAATGTATATACGTATATACAGTAAAGGAATATATGTATGTAATTTTTAAACACATATATATATACACACATAAATACACATATGAAATATAATGTGAATAGAATTTGCCGGCAGACTACGGTCATTACCAGCTCTGATCTTTCCTGCTGGCTTCAGCTGATGTCTGTTTGATTTGGATGATTACCAGAGGAAGGAACAGGTGTGGTCACAACAGGGGGAGGAGGGGGATTTTTTTATTTTCGTTTCTCCATTATACTGCGTCACATCAAAAAGCTAAAAAACAAAAACAATCAGAAATGTGTTAATGAATAATAAGTTAATTTAAATGCAAGAAAAACAAACCAACAGAATGTATTAATTCACATGTATTCACATAATTGGCTGTTGAAATAAAGGAAAAAATAGTACATTTTTTTAACATAATTTGTAATATTTAAATAATTAAAATTGCATGTAGGTTAAGAACCCATAATTCCCTACAGTTAACCAGGGAGGAACCCGAGAAGGGATTTGAACCCACAAACATATGAGAAGTACGCTTCTGTTTGTTTGTTTTGTTTTTTTTGTTTTTGTTTTTTGTTGTTCAGCCATTTGCTTAATTTGTTTCCCACATTTGTCTACAGGGGGAGCTACTGAGCCCCTGTCGCTGTGATGGCTCGGTGCGTTGCACCCATCAGCCCTGCCTTATCCGCTGGATCAGTGAGAGAGGCTCCTGGAGCTGTGAGCTCTGCTACTTCAAGTACCAGGTCCTGGCAATCAGTACCAAGAACCCGCTGCAGGTAAGAAAAACGACGACATCTGCTGGAGCTGCACACAACAACAAAACGGTTGTTAAAGACAGAGTGGATTTTCACGTGTGCAGAGTGACTCACTGCACCTGCAGCTAAAACACGTCCAGAGCAGAAGAAAGAAGGAACATTTATGCAACATGTTGTTTACGGGCACAAGAACGAGAACCCAGGACCTGACGTTTCTTTTTGAGGTCAAATCCTACTTGTTAGTGACGTCAAACCCTCACACCCCAGTTCACATTACAACCGGGAATAATTAAAATGTTCTAATTATTCAAACTAAACTGGTAATATCTGTTCTTCAGACAAAGAAAACTGTAGTATTTCAGATATTTTTAGTATTTAACCGAAGGGGGGGGGGGGCAGTACACGTGCAGTTCCATCTGCAACTGCTTCATTTTTCTATTTATTCTTGTCTGATTATTCATAGAAAAATGATATATGTGTCCTTGAAGTAAATAAGATAATGTGTTAAATCTTTATTTATTTATTTTTTATTGACTGTCATTAGAATTCTGATCTGAAAACCGAGGGCCATGTGCATCACACCAACTAAATCCTGGACTTTACGATGTGCAGAGCCGTGATTTTCCCACTCTGTGATGATCAATTCAAACAGTAGAAAATCCTGCACTACAGAGACACAATACGCTGATGGAGGAAATACACGGAACCTCCCTTTAATCCCTAATCAATCAGGGGGAAAAAAACCAAACGTTTCAAATCCACTCGATGCGAATGGCTGCCGCTGCTACTGACACACATTTAATCTTAACTCACACTCGGTACAGACGCCGCTCCATCACAGGGCGGGTCTTGGGCGGCTGCTGTGCTGTGAGAAGAGTTTGCCATATTGTGTGGACATGTTTTCCCTCTGCGTCACCGTCCTTCTGCAGTCCTTTTCAAACGCAGCCAATAGATCTAAAACCTATTGAGAAGGTGCCATGTGTGTATTTGTGTGTGTGTTTGTGTGTGTGTGTATGTACTTGGGGAGACATTTTTGATGGAATACTATAATTATGGACATAATTTGTCCTTGTAGGGACATTTTGCTGACCTCATCACTGGAGGACATATTTTAAGGATCTGAAATATAGTTTGGAGTTAAGGCTAGAGTTAGATTGAGTCAGATTAGGGATTAGACAAGGATAGTGGTTCCCAACGTGGGGCGCTGGCCTTCTTTCAGGGACACAGAGCTGCAGTATTGGTCTGAATATTTCAATATTTTCATGGAAAAAAAAATCGTCGACAAATGTCATTAACTTGATGATGAAACAGTTGATTTCAAATAAAGACATTTGAAGCATTAGCACTAAGTTTATTGACACGGGCTCGACAATAGGCCTGTGTACAGAAGGGGGCGCTGCAGAGAATGTGGAGGAACCACTAAACTCCAAATATATGAATAAGTACTCAGGTTTTTTGTTTTGTTATGCATTATTTATCAGTATATATTTTAGTAGACCCTCACCAGGAAGTGATTTTTGGTGCCTTCATCTCTTTTATACAAATATTTTAAGCCTGGAAAGATAAATCACTCCCATTACTCAAAACTATAAAATACATGTGCATAAATACAGTTTTTCTGTTGTATTTTTTATTTTAAAAACAGGTTAAGAGGTTCTGTATTTCGCTTACAAATTAATTATCTTTAATGGAAACACCTGTAATCTCTTAAAATGTTTTTTTTTTATTAGTTCATTAGGGATCATGCACAGTACGTGTGAGGTTACGTCCTCAATCGTATTCACATCAGCCAATCAGAATACAGGGTAGTACGGGCCTCGAACACAACCAACTGAAACTATGGTCTATGACACAAACACTGAGTTCTCGTCTTTAACAGCCTTTTAAGTTGTTGTTAAACGTGCTACAAGAGCTGCATCATCAGGCAGGCTGTTCCACTTCACTGCAGCAGGGACAGAAAAAGGCTGCCGTCACAACGGCGCTTTGACAAAATGGTCGTAGTACAAATCCAGGGTAGGAGCAGTTCGGGGAGTGAAACTTACTGGATGAGTGTACGCAAAATTATTCACCGAAGGAGGGGCTGCAAGTCCTGTAAAAACATATTATATATAGACTGAAGCTCTGGATTCTACTACAGTGTTCACTACAGGGCCAGCTGTTCACCACAGCAGGAACGCTAACCTTGCTGCATACTGAGCGCAGTCTTCACTGACATTGGCACTAAATTTAATCCTATGTGGAATCAACATGGTCTACAGTGTAATTCAGGGGAAACTCTGGTACCAGGGTAGTAGTAAAAAAAATTAGGTATTTTGACAAAAACACATTTTATCCAAAACACCGTAATGTCCTTCACCACTTTTGTTTTCAATGTTCCAAAACACGTTAGAAAAAAAGCTGAGATAGAATGAATTGAATGACGCTCAAGGACATGTTGTAATACGTTTTAAAAAACCTTACATTTACAACCTTGAACTGTTTTTAGAAAATATTTTTAATAAATCTTTAAAAAAAATACTGAGTAAAAGACAGAGATACAGCATGTAAGGGTTCGAGTTGTAGTAGCAGAATAGTTGTACAAAATAACCCACTGAATCATTTATATTGAACAACTCCACCATATTAGATAAAAAAAAAAGTTTTTGCTTTATTTTCTATTAGAAAAAAAAAGTAAAATAGACCCAGTAGGTGGCAGCAATGCGAATCACAAGAGTAGCGTCTACTGCTAAAGCCCTAAAGGTAAAGCCAGGCTAAAGGTGTTAGCAGTTAGCTTGGTGAAGACCTGCTCTTAAAAATACAATGCTCCATTCTCATATTGTTTATTTGAGATAAAGATAAACTGGTACTTAAACAGACATGAAGGATGTTGGCTTTTTTTCCGTTGCTGATTCGGACATTTTTCATTTCACAGTGGCAGGCCATCTCTCTGACAGTGATTGAGAAGGTCCAGATAGCAGCCATCATTCTGGGCTCCCTGTTCCTCATCGCCAGCATCTCCTGGCTGATCTGGTCGTCCCTCAGCCCTTCAGCCAAGTGGCAGCGTCAGGATTTGCTCTTCCAAATCTGCTACGGCATGTATGGCTTCATGGATATCGTCTGTATAGGTAAGAGATAAACAGTAAACTATGCACACACACACACACACAAAAAAGCTAAATAAACAGCAGCACTTAAATGTTAAAAAAAATGCAAATAATGACGAGTGTGGAAGGACGCGCGATGTGCTCCGGAGACACAACAACGAAATATATTAATAAACATTAGCTGCATTATACAAGGACAAACTAACATGGTGACAAAAGCCTGTATTGTGTTCACACTCTGCTGGTTAAGGTGGGGGAGATAAAAATCTCTTCAGAAGAAGAGATTTTTATCCGTTTTTGGTTAAATGGTGGTGGTAGTGAGTTATATTTGTAAGACAACACAGAGAACAGATGGCATCAGATACTCACACTGTAGTTCCTGCCAACTGTCTTATTCTGGAAGCTTCTCACCTACCAGATAAAAACCCTCCCTAAAAACCCTCCTAAATTGTGGTTACATTTTGCAGAGCCGTTCACATGCAGAGCAGTGGTGGTACACGGGCATGGTCTGATATTAGCAGGGAGTAAAATGCCCCTTTAAAATATTCAAAAAAAACATTCCTTGAATATTACATGAATGGGGCTTTTAGTGCCCTGTGAGGTACATCATATTTTTGCCACACCTAAATGGAGGATATCATCAGGGCTTCTGTGTCAAAACTCTTTATTTTGTAGATTCTAGATCATATCATCAGGGCTTCTGTGTCAAAACTATTTTGTAGATTCTAGATTAAAACTCAGCGGTAAAGTGAACAAATAAGTAAGGTAGATGTCAAAAAAGTTAAACGTTAGCCAAAGGTATAGCCACTAAAAGCTTGAGATTTTGAAAATGTCTTCATGTTATCAAGAGACGATATTAGCTCTTAATATTCCCTCTTAACAAATACAATATATTAAATAATATTAATGCCTACTAATATTACTAATACAATAGTAAGAGTCAATATAATTTCCTAATAAGTCTAACTGTTAGCTGAGAAATATATATTTTTCCTCATAAGACTTTGCACTAGCTATTTTCTTTACTTTATTAACAGTAATTATTTTTATTTAAGTTTATTAGCTCCTTTAAAAAATGTTTTATTAAAATGTAATCCAAAACATTTTCTACTACATGTATTATTACATGCAGTAATATTTCAAGTCGCTCTCACATATTTTTTTGTACCCAGGCCTCATTATCCATGAGGGATCATCTGTTTATCGAATTTTTAAACGATGGCAGGCTGTGAACCAACAGTGGAAAGTACTGAACTATGAGAAGTCCAAGGATCTGGGCGACCCGTTGAGTTCCAATAAGACTGGCTCTCGTGGCTCTCGCAGTAACACTCACGGACTGGCCAGCAGCAGCAGCAGCAGTGTGCGACAGAGCAGGAGGCTAAGGACTATCCTGAACCACCACTGTGGCTACACCATCCTGCACATTCTGAGTCAGCTGAGGCCCAACGACCCGCGGATCAGCGCCGCCGCCAACAGAGAGGTGGTGATGAGGGTCACCACTGTATGAGTGGGGTTAAACGTGTGCAGTGACACGGACCTCGTCGTCAGATTCACTCATAGAAGAGTGGACAGACAGCATGGACGTCATTTTGACTAAAACAGACTCATGGAGGCTACAGGAGCCTGAGGAGGAGCTGAGCGATGCCTGGAGCATCAACAGACACTCTACTCTGGAGGATTTCTCCTCCTGTTTCCTACAACAACAAAAAAAGCCAGATGCTCTCTTTCAATAAATAAGAAAAAAAAGGATAAAAATGTGGACAAAACACATTAAAGACATCCAATGTAAACACTGAGGACTAAAAAGTGTAATCATGCTTTATAATCTTATTTAAACTGATGAAATGTTGTTGTTTTTTTTCCCAATTCAGGGAGCACAGAGACATTTTTCTTTGTGTTTTTGATTATCTTGGTTTTTATTTCAACCGACTGTTTTATCTCTCTCTTTTTTTACTCATTTTGATTTGGTCAGAATGTTAAATTTTTGAGGAAAACATTCAAATTCATCACATGGTACAAATTTTCAGACAGCTATGTAAAATGATCAGAAATTTCTATAAGCGAAACCATGCTGACAAATAGACCGTAAACTGAAACTGAAAACGCCCTTTGCAATGCAAAGATGGCGGCAAAATAATAAGTCATAGTTTAAAGAACAAGAGGAAGTCACTACGATTTCAGTGACACTTAACCTTTCTGCAATAACGATATGTATGTACATTTCACAGGGAATTTTGCATGGGTATATAATTTTATTCTTCATCTCATGACATAAGCACATGACAAATTTGCTCTATTTCAAACGGTGCTTGCCAAAATAAACACTTTGAAAACATCCAAATTCATTGCAACATCCTTTTTGTGTCCAAGCTGAAATAAAAATGTTACTGATCCATGTGGCACATTTTAAAGGATTTGTGTGAAAATGGGGATCTGACAATCAGTATCACTCTTTTTGTCCAAGTTGTCAGTTTTTGTTTTTGGCTTAACTCATTGAGGGATTGAGTGGTACTGTTATATATCTTGAAAAATATACATCTTTAAAAAGCCAAAATAGAAAAATGTCAAGACAGAAGAAGCAGCAGGAAGTCAAATTTATGAACAACCTAATTGTAAACTAAATCAACACAGTGTGTTGATTAATTTTTTAACGTTATGCAGCAAATTAATTTGATCAATTTGAGAAAAGACAAGTTGGAAGCCAAGCAATTGATAAAAGTGTGAGAAATAGTTAAGGCTAGGCAAGAACATACCTAAAAGTAGCTGAGAAATACTGTTCCATTTTATTTGTCCTATAAGTGCTCTGAAATCGCCTAGACACATTCTTTACAGGTAGAAAAAACGTTATAAAATATATAAATTGGTTTTCTACTGTGCTGGCAGACTCTAAAAAATACTTTTAAGAAAGTATTCTGAAGCCACATAAAACTGACACAACTGGCTGCCATCCCAGGCTTTGGTTGTAGTGTTTAGATAAAACATCAGTAAGGTATTTAAACATTCCTTTATGGGGCGAAGAATATGGTCAAAACAAGGTTTCAATGGGTGCTTTACTGTATATACTGTATATAAAAGATAATAATTAATGGTAACAATATGGTCCCTTATGTTGAGTATTAGGGACAACAGCTAGGTATCCGTGAATCTCGACGTCAAATGTTATGCAAATTAATTCAAAAGTCTGGGAAATGTATCAAAATGGAAATTTGTGCCACTTCACCATGTGAGAACTACAGCAGAGCTGGTAAAGAAAGATCTTCAACTCAGTGTTCACATCAGGATTGTTTTTCAGTAAGAGGGAAAACACAAACACGAAAGCACTTTCCTTAAAGTCACGGTGATTATACAGTAACAGGCTTTCCCCCCAACATGACAGGTCATTGCAGGAGAAAGCGCAGGCGTAAATATTAAAGGTAAAAAGGGCGGCAAATCATTCCGCCTTTTTCTTTCCCTTAACGGCCAAGCTGTTATCAAACACGGCGACGTAGTGGGGCCATCTTTCGCGTTACCACTTGGACTTTTACCACTGTGACGCATTTAATGAATATTTAAATACTAAAACTTTGATTTGGGAAAAATAGCTGTCGATATAGTCCTAGTCAACAGTGACATCCAGCGCCTCTCCTTGGACAAAAAGTAAAAGAGACGGTGAGGGTGTTTGTGTTGTCGGCCATTCCATGTACAAATCGTAGCATATATTGCCATCTAGTGGTTATTTTGTAGGCTGCGTTTAACCAGTTACAGTATTTTGACCTAATTAAAAAGAACGATTAGATTTTTGAACGGCTTTGACCTTAATGTAGTAACTTACTATAGACGCTAGGGGCACCGTTACCAACCATTGACAGTATGTCATTTAATTAAAAAACCAGTTCACAAGTATGAAACTAACTTCCGGGATTTCCGACGCAAAAGACTTTCTTCTTCTGAAGTAGGTCACATGGTAGAAACCAGAGAAAATATCGGTGTTGAACTTTGTCCACCTTATGCTCCACCTCCTCCTCCACCTGCTCCTGTCTAACTGCTTTATACCTGTCTGATGAGTCAACACCTACTGCCGGAGGGACGATGTCCAACCTGCTCACCATAAACTCCGCTGGGAACGGGGAAACCAGAAGCAGCTGCAGCAGAAGGATCAGAAAGAAGAAGAGGAGGAGGAGGAGTGTGTGAACAGAACTCGACTTTTTTCCCTTCCTACAGGAATGTTGCTGAGGAATAAATGCACTGCTTGTTTCCTTTGACAGAGGATACTTTGAAAGGAGTGTAGGGAGAGAGGGTTCATGATGAAGCTGTTCTCCTTCCTGAGCTCAGGTCAGTGTTTCTTTTTTTCCTCCACGTGTCAAGTCTTACTGTTTATTCTCCTGTTCAAATATTTTTCGTTACTTTTTTTACTCGGTCCCTCGGCCTGTTGTAGTCAACCTGTGCTAATGGTTATTTGTCTTTTTGGTCAGTTCAGTCTGCACTAATACCTGTAAAAAAGTTACAAAAGGTGGGCACAAAAATATGATAGCTGATTCATCAATGACAGTTAATGGTGTGATCATGTAATTACGTCATCACAATAAATTCTTGAAGGTAATTTTCTCTGAACACAACAGCGAGAATGATCGGCTGTTGGATGCCACATAATTACACATTATAATTAAAAATAAAAAGTAAACAAAAAAGTTATAACCTCGCCTTATTACTATTATTATACTAATAATAACAACAATGAACATTATAAGCTGCTATTAAAAATGAGAAGTGTGGGAATAAAATAAATAAGAAAGTACGTTATAATCTGCTTTCCTCTGATTTAAGGAAAATAAACATTTCAATTTGTAAAAAAAAAGAGGAAAACTCATCAGCAAGGGTTTCCTCAGTTAGGACTGATTCACAACATTGCTGTGAATTATTAATGACAATCCCTAAAAAAATGAAAAGTGAAACTGATTTATTGTCATTGTGAAACTGCACACTACGAAATGCGACCCCTGCCTTTAACCCATCACCTTAGCTGAGCCCCCGGGGACAAAGTGTGACATTTTTACCAGTTCTAAAATTCACATTGTTTTTATCCAGCACTGAGGAGGGGACTGGTCTAGTTAGTTTCTCCTGTTTCCCCCCCAGTATTGGGGTTTTAAAGACAAAACCATTATTGAGTTGCTTAAAGGCCATTCAGTGCGAAGTTAGCCTTAACATGACGGTGTAGTTGAACCTGTTCTAACGTATGTAGATGCATAGATGCTGTAGCCAATGTTAACACTTCATACATTAGTGACTATTACTGCTGATGTAGATGTTTGATTACTCAGCATATTACACTGGATCACAAGACCGTTGATAAGAAACCACTGTATGATGTTCCGGAACTTGAAGTTCTTATGACAGAGGCTTTAAATGCTTCTATAAAAATAAAAATCAGTTGATCTTTGCAAGAACAGAGCGGTAAAATTCCACTTAGGCTTCTGTAGCACTCACGACTTCCACGTCTTTGGCCGTGTCAAAAGGTTAATGGTTACAGTGCACATGAACGTAAAGCTAAAGCTGGGTAAAGAATTGTAATATAAATAATAAAATAAATATAAAAATGATTATTTTCTGTATGTGCTGTGATACTGTAAGCTGTGACTGTAATCCCAAAATATTCATCTGATGTTTGCAGCTAGAGACGCCACACCGGAGAACATCCACATCTCCTCTCTGCCTCCCAGCGCTCCCACATTTGACCAGGCCACAGTACCAGGTGAGGATGGGTGTCCCAACGACCTCTCTCTCGCCCTGAATGTCGATTTTTAGAAAGTGACTGCATGTACAGTTATATTTACTTCATCTTTTCTAGAACTTTCTCTTCACAGCTGTATGTGTTCTCTGGTTGATGTGAAGCCTTCAGAGCCGATGGAGACTCACTGTTTTTCACTGAGTCTGTGTTTAAATTTTCAGAACATGATGTGTCAACAGAGAAAGCGTTGGTCCAGACCACCTACACACACAGAGTGTCCTCTCCCACCGTCTTTCTACAAAACCAGGACAAGGATCCTGTTTCAGACACTTACTTTGACCAGAGGATCCCTGTTCCGGACGAGAAGAGTGAGGTAATTCAGGGGTTAATGGACCTTTAAAGAAATCCATCCCTTTAGGTCACATCAGGATCTTCCACTGGTTTATATATATATATATATATATATATATAAATAAGTATAAAAATTAATTTCCCGCTCCTTTCTCTCCTGTAGGGCTGCATTAGCCTCCGTAAGCTGTGGGCCTTCACGGGGCCGGGGTTTCTGATGAGCATTGCTTACCTGGATCCCGGGAACATCGAGTCTGATCTGCAGTCTGGTGCGAAAGCTGGATTTAAGGTTCACATAGTAGTCACTGTTTTTCTTAAAGGCATAATGTGACGTTTCAGTTGACCAACATTTTTATTTCAACCAACGGTGAATTTTAACAACAGAGACATAGACCTATGATCAGTTGACGTTCATATTTTATCTTTGAATGTAGCAGAGCAGAGACAAACCTTAGGGACTCAGATCTATTTACATACTACAGGGACAGAATGGTTGATGTTGTCTAACAGGTATAAGTTTACCAAGACAAGAAACTCTGTTTCTTAGTAACTTGTTGTGTTATTTGAATAAACAGTGAATATTCATTAAGGTTAAAGAATAGCTGGGCTGAATGTCAAAACCAGAGACAGGTTTATGTGTAAAACCTTCGCCCAAGGTTGAACTGATGCAACAAACTGTTCCATAAACAAGGAGTTTTCAAAGTTTCAACAACATTGTTGTTTAAATGTGATGTAATTTATGACCAAAATATTTCTGCTGGAGAAAGAAAAACATTTTTAGGTGGCTTAAAAATACAAATTTGTGTATAATAAATAAATAAATAAATGTATAATATATGATCTTAGTCTAGACCAGGCGTGGGCAAACATTTTGACTCATGGGCCACAATTGTCCTAAAATTTGACAGGGGGGGCCGGGCCAGGAGCAGATAGATGGAGCGTTCATATGAACTAAGATAAATAAAAAATAAAAATCTTATTGGCTAAAATAAAGCATAAAGGCAAAAATGCTTTTAGCCTTCTCTACGCCATCTATAGGAAAAAGGTGGGAATTGCAAGGAAAAGGAAAATATAATCACAATAGAAACCAATTATATAATTTGGACAAGTTTGGTGGGCCGAATTACAAAGGTGAACGTGCCACATCCGGCCCATGGGCCTTACTTTGCCCATGCCTGGTTTAGGTTGTTAATTTTTTTTTTTTTTTTTAACATGCATTCATGCTCCGTCAGTGTGACTTGTCACCACTGGTATCTTACAGTTTGTGTGTGTTCTCCTCCTCTTAGCTCCTGTGGGTGCTGCTGGGAGCCACCACCATCGGTCTGTTGCTGCAGAGACTGGCGGCTCGTCTGGGTGTGGTCACTGGGATGCACTTGGCTGAAGTTTGCCACCGTCACTACCGCACTGTGAGTTTCTTATCCATCTGATCGCTTTAGTTAATGACTTCTTTTGTACTGGAAGGCTTTCGACAAAGTGCAGTCATTTTCCCGAGTCTGTGACCTCAAGTAACTGTTTGACAGAATTCTTTTTTTTCAAATCTCCTTCAGTAATTCTTAGTTTTTATGTCCATCCGTAGATTGATTAATTTGAAATCTGCCGAGGAATTTTAATCAGTCCACACTGACTCATGAATATGCTGCAGCGAGATTAGATTAATTAAAAATCTGTCCAAATATAATATGGAACACTGTTGCGGCATCTTAACCAGCAGCCCCGTGTCTTCTGTGCAGGTTCCTCGTATTATCCTGTGGTTGATGGTGGAGCTGGCCATCATTGGCTCAGACATGCAGGAGGTCATTGGCTGTGCCATAGCTTTCAGCCTCCTCTCTAACGGAAGGTCAGGTGAATCAAATTCCCCAAAAACTTGGGGGGAAAAACATTTTTGTGACAAACAAATAGCAGTGTAATCTGACATAGGCTTACTGATTGACTTGACGTAACCTGACTTGACTTGACTTGGCGTGACGTGACGTAGCGTGACTTGGTGTACCCTCTATCCACAATTCCAGTGTGTGGTTTATATTGAGCATATCATAGTTAAAGCCAACACCCTGAGGCTAATCTTGATGAATTAAAACATCAACTCAACATACAGGTCTTTGACAAATTAGAAAAGTCAAATTTACCCAAGAGAGCATGACAAAGCTTAGTTGTCACATATGTGTTAAGGTGTGTGTGTGTCTGTGTGTGTCCCACTGGCAGGATTCCCCTGTGGACTGGCGTTCTCATCACTATCATTGACACCTTTTTCTTCCTCTTCCTGGATAAGTACGGTACGTTGTCACTGGCCGATGTCACGTCGTCACAGCATCAGAGCTTTTCACAGATCAGCGTCACATCATAGTCAAGGTTGTTCACTTTGTTGTTTACACTTCGTCGACAGGTCTGCGGAAGCTGGAAGCCTTCTTTGGTTTGCTGATCGCTGTCATGGCTATCACATTTGGATATGAGGTACTACATAAAGTATTTGTAAATATTATTCAGATTTACGAACATTTTGAAAACGTTAGTCTGTTATCCTTAAACACCTTTGTTTGAGCTCATGTTGTGCAAATTTAAATGAGCATTTCAAATACTCCAGGATATTCTGTCCAGAACTGCCTCTGATTTTTGACCTTGGTCTCGGGGTCTTTGACGCTCATCTTTTGCCTCCTCTTCTTCAGTATGTGACCGTAGGTCCAGACCAAGGGGAGCTGCTGAAGGGCATGTTTGTGCCGTACTGTCAGGGCTGTGGACCCGTGCAGCTGGCTCAGGCCGTGGGCATCGTGGGAGCCGTGATCATGCCTCACAACATCTACCTGCACTCTGCTCTGGTCAAGGTGAGTTGGAGAAAGCGCTTGCTTACGATTACAGTCGACTATCGTAGACCGCCACCGCCGCTCGTTAAGTGTTAACAAATATCCTCTCAGTCCAGAGAAGTTGACCGATCAAACAAGAAGGAAGTCAGAGAGGCCAACAAATACGTCTTCATCGAGTCGACCATGGCGCTCTTCATCTCCTTCCTCATTAACGTCTTTGTGGTGGCTGTTTTTGCAGAGGCTTTCTACCAGCGCACAAACATAGAGGTGGTGAGTGTCTCTGCCATTGCTGATCTTTTTCTTCTTCCAAAAATGTGTGGAGTTTTTTTTTCTGGTCCACGTGTGTTTAACTGTGTCTGTTTTCTTTATTCCAGCACAATGTGTGCAATCAGTCAGGAAGCCCACACTCACATCTGTTCCCTCTGAACAACGAAACTCTGGAGGTGGACATCTACAAGGGGGTGAGTTTGAAGCTGTGGCTGTGTTTAGAATTTACCTCAGCAGGTTGTTGTGTGACAGATGAAATTCAATATTATTGATATAAGTTATTTGAAACAACAGTAGAAAATCAGTATAAAAACCGTTACTTGTGTCTCTTCTTCTTTTTCTTCTTCTTTATGACATCCTGCTACAAATACAATAGTTAAGAAGGTTTAAAAATGTACAAAACTCGAGAAATGGCTGTTAATGAAAATGTATTTAAATTGATTTAAACAAAAAAAATCAAAAAAATAACCCTTTATTTTACCCTGCATATTTCACAATATAATGTCTATATACAGTATATATATATACTGTATATAAACATGGTTGAATTAAAATCTTCTCGTTTGTGTGTCTGTGGCAGGGAGTGGTTCTCGGCTGTTTCTTCGGCCCAGCAGCTCTCTACATCTGGGCCGTGGGCATCCTTGCAGCTGGGCAGAGCTCGACCATGACCGGAACATATTCTGGTCAGTTTGTCATGGAGGTCAGTGGCTGGGACATGGAGGGACTAAATAAAGTTTTGCACAAAAACACATATGATCTTTCATGTCCTTGTACGTTTAGCTGCAGCGCTGACTGTTTCAGGCAGCTCTACTTCCAAACTATCAGTGTGGAAATATTTACTTCCCTAGAGTTGTTGGAAACTAACGTGTCTTCTCTGTGGTCAGGGTTTCTTGAACCTACGCTGGTCTCGTTTTGCACGGGTGTTGTTGACCCGCTCCCTCGCCATCACCCCGACCCTTCTGGTGGCCATCTTCCAAGACGTACATCACCTTACAGGCATGAACGACTTCCTCAACGTGCTGCAGAGCATGCAGGTTAGTACGGCAGGTCAGAGCGGCCGCAGATTTATTTCAGAGTCTCCCAGCATGTTTGGTAGGTTAAAGTTTCTTATTATTTATTATTATATATCATAATTAAAAATGACTGATATCACATACGTATATTGTTTTTCTAATTACTGTATTATATTGCATTGTATCAAATTTGCATTGTAAATAAATGAATTGGAGTCCCTTATTTCTGCCACGAGGGGGACATTCACATAACAGTGTGACTTTTTACTCAGGACCTTCTGCTACACTATGGAACCATGTACCATATTATTTTGTATTAAATTGTATTGTATCTTATCTTATTATAAAATATCATATTATATTGTAAGGTGATTATGAGGTAAGGTAATTCTCTCCTCTTCTCTCTCCAACAGCTGCCGTTTGCCCTCATCCCCATCCTCACTTTCACCAGTTTGCCGTCCATCATGAAGGACTTTGCCAACGGACTGTAAGTCTAACACTTGGACCTCGGTTTGTTTTTCTCCTTGACTTCCTGTTTCCTGACTTTCCTGTACCTGTTGCAGTGTGTTTAAGATCGGAGGAGGCCTGTTGATCGTGCTCGTCTGTTCCATCAACGTCTACTTTGTTGTGGTCTATGTGACCACGTTCAACAGCGTGTGGCTCTACGTGCTGGCCGCCGTCTTCTCCGTGGCGTACCTGACATTCGTGGGATATTTGGTACGTATCGATGCAGTTATTTGTGCTGATGATTCATGATCATTTGTGAACATGGAACTTGTTAAACCAGAACCCAACCTAAACTTGAACTATGAAGAGATTACTAATTGTCAGTAATTAATTACAGTTGACCAGCCAGTTTGACGACTTAGAGCAAGATTTAGTGAAGTTTGATATAATTTCAAACTTTTCACCATTAATTAGTTACTGGTTACTGGTTTATCGCTGCAGGTGTTTTGTCAAAGGCTACTGTGACTCTCTGAAGTGCAATGATATTTATGTCTACTTAAGAAATCTTATTTTACATAAATAAATGTCAGCGGACTCTTGCTGGTTGAACTCATCATTAATCACCTAAATACTCGATGGTAATTTGTCAGGTAATGGGACAACAGAATTTAAACAACAATACTGACTCCTGCTGTCTGACCTGTGTCAGTGTCAATTTTATTATATGGATTTAATTTTCAGGATTAAAGATATGAAATGTAGCAGGCTTGCCGTGACCTAGTTGTGTTAGAGATAATCGGGGAATCAGTTGGTCAGAAAAGTATTATTTATTTACTGCAAATATTTTGTTTTGCACCTCAATGCCACAGTGACGGGCAGAACGAGTAAATAGTCTTCCACTAGGTGGCAGTAGATGACTTTAAAACCTTCAACAAGAGGTTGAAGATCGAATCCCGACCTGGGCAGAACTGTGGTTTATTTAATAGACAACACGGTGCAGTCGAATTAATAGAACTGAAAAGTTAAGTCAAAGGTTAAAGTTCAGCCCAATATTTTCAGCCTTTTCTTTCATTACAGTAAGTTGTGTTTTACCAATATTGTCTCCAAAATATTTTTTTTAAATTAAGTTTAGTGTGTAGTGGTTTTAACTTTAATATATCTGAAATATAATGAAGCCTGCTTTTGTCTGTGTGTGTGTGTGTTTGTGTGCTGCAGGTGTGGCTGTGTCTGATAGCTCTGGGAGTTTCCTGTCTGGATCCGACCACAGAGAGGGGGAGCGACGGCAGCGTTCTGATCGAGCAGCAGCAAGAGTCTGACTCGTGAATCCCACGTTAAACATTCGGAGGGATATTTATTTTCAAAGCTGCAGCTGTGAGAAACCTGACTCTTCTGTCACACGTGCTGTTTTCTAAGTTTGTTAATCGTTTGTTTTATGAAGGGCACAATGTACATAGATGCTGTACAGAGGTGTCAAGCACTGGAAGACTTTTTATTTTACTTATCTCTAAACAAAAGAGTGTAAATGAAAGAAATATATATATAATAATTTATATTAGTTTTTACTAAAGATCAACCATTGGAAACAGTTTTTGCCAGCCAGTCTCTTTATGGGCATGTTTTATATTTCTTCTTCTGAAATGTGTGTTTTAATGTTGCTATTTAAAATCACTTTGACAAAACTGCGTTGGCCCAGACAGATGTTTTTCACAGGCAGGTCAATAAGAGTCCCTCTAGGAGGGTACAATAACATAGGATCCTCAATCTTGAGGGTGTTTCCCGTGGTTTGGTTTTTTGTTTTTTTTTTTGTTTTTTGTTTTTTTGTAAAATGGGGCAGTGTATTTTTAGTATGAGCCTTTGATACTCACAATAAGAAGTCCTGAGACCACAGCCTTTCACAGCAGGGCACGAGATTATTACAGTGTCTAAAGCGTTAGCACAGAATAACACTTTAACAAATCAAATAACACAATACAAAAGAAAATGAGACTGCGTTGAAAGATCTAAAATGTATTTTATATATAAAAGCTTATATATATATAAGCTTTTGTAATTAAATGTTTTTGTTTTTTAAATGTATTTGCCTTTCCCCTGCAGTTTGTGTTTTGTCCACAAGGTGGCAGTGTAAGCCGCGAGTGACTCTCCAGCTCCTGTAAACGCCTCAGCGTAACAACATAACAGCACATTACAAATGTCACGGTGAGCTACACCGTGTTTAATATGTTGTTTTTACACCTAAAACAACAATATTGTGTTAAAAAACGTCCGAGCAGGAGAGGCTACAGTGACAGGACTGTCTGTGTGTGTGAGCTGCTGAGCTCAGTGTTGACAGCGGTGTTTGAAATGCCTGTGGCCGTGGTATGTCTATAGAGTTGCAACTATTGTGCAACTGCAGGCGAGCTCTGCTGCTTTCAGCTCTGCTCAAATTCCAGTCTTCAAGTGCTTGAGTTTTTTTTTTAGGAGAGGCAGATGGACAGGTTTTTCTTTGCATTGTGGCGGGGAACTTTTTTTTCTCTCTCTCTCTCTACTGCCTGTCATGGAGGCAGAGAGTTATGTAAGAGGGGAGAGTCTTCCCACCCCCTCTCTGTTTTTGTTTTTCTCAATGAGCCAATGTCTCCCTGTCTAGGCCTCACAGCCTGTCCAGTAGGCCCCTTTCCTGGAAACATAGCCTAGCAGAGGCCACTCAGGGGCAGGCCTGTGTGTGTGTGTGTGAGAGAGAGTAAGTAAGGGGGGCTCTTCCTGCAAATCACATGATTGTAGACCCCTCAGTCCCAGCCCTACATGAAGCTCAGATGCTCTGAGTACATTTCAGCAGCTAGTTTGACATCTCCAGGCTTGGATGTAGTAAAAAAGTATGGCAGAGTGCACACGTCTGTAAGTAGAAGCTGTAGTTCCCCACGTGTGTGATGTAGAAGTAGAACCGCAGTGTTGATGAGTGGACTGTGTGTGTGTTATTGAGATTTATTTTAATTTATTTTTGATTAACTTAGTCTTGTTATTACTACCGGAAACACCACAGATTTCCTCTTGCTGATGATAATTCAATTTAAATTAAGTAATTATGAATATTTTTAATGAGTCTCCCCAGAGGAATGTTATTGATGTGTTTAATAAATAATAATAGTAAGTCGATTCAACACACAGTGATGTGTTTGTGCTGATAAACACAGAAGAGTGATAATGTATATTTTTGCAACAAAAAAAAAAAAAAGCTTATCTTTGGAGCCCTGTGCTGTTTTACGACTGTGGCTCCACACAGCAGGCTGATTTAATGAGATGCAATTACAATAATCATTAACAATGCTG